GGGGGGTGCAGGGCAGGGCAATGAGTGAGGGATATTTGATATTTATTGCCGCCTGACGAACGGGTCTTTCCTCCCTCCCCTCCCTCTGGGCTAGATGTGAGGCTGACTACTGCCTGTTCCACTTGTTGACCTCCCCGAGCTCCCCCCATCCCATTTCCTCCCCTCTATCGCGCGTCGCCCTCTCCTTCGTGTGTTGCAGGCGTGCTCAGCGATCTCAGCAGCTTCTTCAGCAACCTGCAGGACAACCTGGAGTCCATGGAGAACATGACGCCCGAGGAGCGGCGCATGGTGCTGGGCGGCGTGGACAGCCCGCACGAGATGCTGCCGCAAGCAGGTGAGTGCGAGTCCGGCGGGGGCGATGAGCGGTCCTTGACGAGCTGGCATGGACGCGACAAGGCGTCGGCCAGCAGGTCAATCTAATTTGATCTGTAATCTAGAGTAGGTGGGGTTGATGGGGAGAAGAGGGGCGCGGCGGGGCGGGAGGGGCGGGGAATGTGAACCTCATCATGCACACCTTGCCCGCGGGGCGCACTCCGTCCACTCAGGCCTGCTGCTGCTGCTGCTGCTGCTGCGCGTGCGTGTGGGTGTATGTGTTTGCCAACTTGCGCGCGCAGTGCGCGTTTGCAGGCAGGCGCGTCCGTTCCAGCCGACGCCGCGCCATGAGTTGCGACGCCACGAACTTCGCGATGGCCCTCATTCCCTACGCGTCAGACCTCCAAAGTAGCGGAGGTGGTGAATTTGCTCGCCTTGTCTGCCGGCTGTTTCTCTCGCCAAAGGCAACGACGCGACGGCACGGAAGGGTGGCTCTGGGAGAACTCTTGCTGGAATCACCTGTAACCTTTTAGTTCCCGCGGGCGAAATTCCGTGAAATGACACCAACATATTCGTTCCTCTGCTTCTGCTCTCTAGATCAGTACTTGCTGGTTCTCATTTCCATTGATGTCCTGTGGGAAGTCCGTTGCGCTAGAGCGTCAGGGACGCGTCGGTGGTTACACGTTGCCTCTTGTATCTGCCCCCTTCCCTTTCTTTTCCACTCCGCCGGCTATGCACCTTTCGTCCTCGTAGCCGGCTCGTAGCTCGTCTCGGGCAGGGACAACCCTTGGGGGTCCGGTCTACAAAGGCGGACGGCGGTCGGCGGAAGGTATGGTCCTGGCCCCGCGTCCCTGTCCCTGCTATCTGGGGTGTACACACGCTTTCGCAATATTTGCTCCTTTGTCATATTGTACGCGGGGGGCTGCGCGGGCTGCGAGGGCTGCGAGGGCTGCGCGGGGGAGGGAGAGCCGCCCCGCCTCGCTCCCCGGGGGGCCCCCGCTTGCCCCCGCTTGTCGTTATTAGTGTGGTGCATGGAGCTAATGCTGTGTTCCGTTGCGCCCGCGGCCTGGACAGCGCTGCTGCCCGCGGTGGGCCCGGCCCAGGGCCCGTGCGCCCCCTGGGGCCCCGCCCCCGCCTACCGCTGCCCCCCGGGCGACCTGGCCCCTCCACTCGCCCGCACCCGGGCGGCGCTGGGGCTGCCCAGCGGGCTGGGCCCCGGCAGAGGCCTCGGTTACGGGCGCGCGGGGGCGGGGGGCCCCCACTGGGGCATCGAGGGGGCGGCGCACTGGGGCTCCGGGCTCCTAGGGCCCCTGGGGCCCCTGGGGTCCCTGGGGGAGAGCCCGCCGAGGACGCGTCGCTTCGGCTCGACCATCCGCTGCATCAGGCGGGTAAGTGTGCAGCTGCAGACTGATTCAGAAGAGCGCTCTCCTCGCTCCGTCTCTCTCGCACCTGTACGGCGCGCCCCATGAGTGGGAGAGAGACGGAGCGAGGAGAGCGCTCTTCTGAATCAGTCTGCAGACGTAGCCGGGACTCGGGGTGGGCCTAGTGGTGCTTGTGCATACCGCACGTGTGTGCTTGACGTGCGTTCCATCGCTGTCGTGTCTGCCCTCGCCTGATTAGGTATCGGTGGCCCCCCCCCCTCTTCAGCCCCGCACATCAAACGGGGCATTCTTCGCTCTCTCCACGCTCTCCGCCCCAGTGCGCAGCTCGTGTAGGGGCTGCGTCGTCCTCGCCCCCACTCTCCCAACAGTAAGGGCGCCGGGTACTACTCCCCCATCCACCCCCGCCACACTCCCCGCTCCCCGGAACATGTCCGCCGCGACGTTGTACGCGACGCACAAACGTCTGCCGCCGCCGCCAGCGCCAGGCCAGCTGCGCGCTGCTGAGCTGATCCCCTCGGAAATTGTTTGGGGAACCCCTCGACACTTGCGTCGACAGGAGTATTCCCTGCACAATGTGCCCTGCGCGCCGCGTGGCCGTGTCACCGGGTGAGGGCGCCTGTGGAGCTGGGGGTAGGCCACCCGCGGGCGGCCCTGTGCGGCGGCCGGCCCAGCCTGGCCCCGTCGGGCGCCTCCGTCCCCCCGGCAGCAGGTGCCTGACACACGGCGCCTCCTCCTGTTGCAGGTCCCGGGCGGCCCATGTCGGCTCCAGCTCTCATGACGTCCCTGCGCAACCAGCGTCCTTCGTCCAGGACGAGGCACTTCGTGGAGACGAGCGAGCCCGCCGCCCTGCGCCGGTCCAACAACCACGACCCGCAGGTGCTGTGGGCGGGGCTGGGCCGCTGAGGCGGGGGAGCCGCCCACCAACACCAACGACGCCATCACGACGCCGACGGTCGTCTCGTTCATAACTTACTTACTACCCTCTCCCTTATCAAACGTTATCCTCTCACATTTTCGCACGTCCCTCATTTGGACCGTACTCCGCTCGTGACTCACCCGCCTTAACTGCGCACCAGCTTATTGTAACACGCGGTATTCTCATCACGGTCGGCCCGCTCCGCCGCAGTCCATTGCCATCTACCGCGACTCAGGGAGGGGCGTGGCGGAGCGGGGCGGGTGTGGTGCGGCCCGCACGGTAAGCCCTAAACTCTTGCGAGCAGTCGAAACGTTCACGTCTCGGACCTGATCAAGGCCGGTGCGGGCCAACCCGCGGGCCGCCTCGCACGCCGCCGAGACGCTCTCCATGCTGAGCACCACCGGGTCGGAGGGTAAAGCGTGGGGTGGGGGAGGGTTTCAATCTCCATGCGCACCTAAACCTCATGCACTTCTGCTCTCGTTGTTCGCCTAAAAGCGAGCCTTTTACATATTCGTATACTTTCTAGGCAGTACCTCACAGGAGTCACTGTGCACAAACGTTTCACAAATGGGGCGAGTTTGAGTATGTAGGATAGACACCCCTTTTTTGATCCTCCCAAGTAAGAAGTAAGGAATTGATTTAAGTCAAGACTGGAGCCAGTGCTAAAATTCAAGCTATATTTTATGCGCATAGAAAATTTGGTGGGCGTCTCATTTAGTGTTTCTCATATCTTTATCGCAGAAAATAGCGCAATTTACAACGAGTGTTTGCCACAATTTCAGTCCAATTTCACTGAACGTTTAGGTTTCCTGTGCGAGTGGAGCCTCAAAGGTGGTGGTGTTTCACCCGGAGCTTTATCATCGTGTACTTAAGTCAGCAAATTGATCCATCCCTGTTTGATACTAGTACATCGCATGGCTTCACTCCACCTCGGACTTGCTCGCAGAGAAATGTGTGAGAGACTCAGTAAAGTTATGCTCTATCCAAAAAGCATAAGCATAACTCTGTTCATTTCACATTTTTCTGGGTGCTCCCTGTCATCATCTATCGTGTGATTTTGTGATTTACTACTCGCCGTTGGACCTGTACTGTGTTTCCGGTCTCCGCTGCAGAGTGCGTGACGTCATATTACATTGTGTCCGCACCTTGAATGTAACATTCCTTCTCAAGACTGTATAATTAAAGAGTTCTTAGCAATAACCTGCCCAATTGTCTTTTCTCCTTCAATGATCTATTCTCCGGGAGACACGCTGATGGATGGCCTGAGCGCGGGGGAGGCGCGGAGGCGCGAGGCTCGTTGGGCCGTGCTCGTTAGGGGCGGGAGCAAGGCTGGGGCAGCCCCCAGGGAGGGGTCGTTGTTACCAGAATAACAGGAACTTTAAGTGACCTCTGATACCAAATCCTTGGCGCGGTGCGGTGCCATCGCTACACCCCAGCTACAGCGGCGAGCTTCCCTCTGGAAAGTATACACTGGACACCCAAGTGTGTGAATGTCGCACACTTGCATGTGTGTGAATTTCCATTCGTACACTGCAGTGGATGTGAATTTTCTTCATCGAAATTCACATGCCTACTGCAAGAGTATGAATGGAAATTCACAGGCCTACTATAAGTGTGGCAAATTCACACGCTTGAGTTCGCGGCATGTATCCGGTCCGGATAAAAGTGACTGTGGGGCCGGCCTGACTCTGACTCATCCACCGTCCTGGAAAGGACATACTCATAGTGGAGTAGAGGCTCAACCACCCTTTGCTCTGCCGGCTTGTCCTTCTTTACCCGTTCAGACGACACCAGCAAAATTCTTATTTCTAAGAAATGAAAATGACACTGCGTGCAGGCGTCTTCTTCCGAGCGTTGCTCGACGTCGACTAGCACACGCTGCCGAGGAAAGTCAGCGACTCCGCTATGATGCCCCCGTTTAAAATGGGCCAAGTTTCTGAAGTGAGGAGCATAGCGACGATTCTAATCCCTTTGCAAATGAGCTGAGATAAAGTTCACGGTAGGCAGATGGCTCCTGGCCCGAGTCTCTCTTTTTTGGGTCCAAATCATCCACAGCCGAGGAAAGTTACGGAGCTTGGAGAGCGACGAACAATTATTCTGCTTTTCCACAAACCGGTAAGTTCTCGGGAGGGAAATGGATCACACCACACTCTGGCATATCGTTACTATCGGGAATCATCCAGAGAGTACGTCTGTCATTCGCCGTTACGAATGAACCGGCCAAGTTTCAGCTGCTGTAAGTTGCAAGCTCTCATAGCGCCTGGTAACTAGACAACGCCCTGCCTGCAATGCATGTGTGTGCTGCGGGTGGCCTATCCCGAGTCTCACAGGCGCTGAGCTCCCGGAGTTTTTCGAAATCTTGGATAAACGGACGTACTTAACTAGACGGTCCCGTCCCCAGGTTCTCGCTCCTCCCCAGACACATCAGAACACATAAGTTATGCCTATGCCTCCAACGTTGTCGAGCGTGTCTTGAGAAAGAGGGTGTCCTTTCGAAAAAGATGGCCAGCCCGCCAAAAACGTTGCCAACAGGTAAACTATCGTAATATTTCTTCTATTAATTGTCTCTCATATATCGCACATTCAGTGACACAAAATTGTAAAAAGATTTTGTTTTAAATTTATGTGACGTATGAATACTCCAAAAGGAATCACCAAAGCACCGATCAGCGACACTTGTCGGAGGTGCACGGTTGGCAGTAAGTACAAAGCCATTCATTTGCAGACCGCAGGCTCCGCAGGACAAACAGTGACGTGTGTCTGTCATCGGGGTGGTTTGTTTACTTTCGTGTGTTATGGGCAACAAAAATGCTTCAAGAAATACTGGATAACTTGAGGATCGCCGTAGAACAGGGTCGAACGGACATCATCCGCAGTGTCCTCGAAGCATGTAAGATCTGCGGCCCTCCAGCCAACCTAATCGTCATAGGTTGAGGTTATGGCTTTCTATATCTTCTGCCCAATTTTGACATTTACGTCGTGTCATAGGGCCCTCGTGGTGCCCATCGGCTATTTAGAGGTAGCGTTTGGGTTTTAGGGGAGGCCTGAGGTCGGCGCTTCCTTTAACGGTGGGCCGCGGCTCGCGTGCAGTGCGGACTGGACAGCGGGCGGGTTGGTCTAGACCGATGTAAACAAAACAATGTTGGAGGAGCTACCGTTTTCTTCAGCAAACTAATGTGAGACGTAGCATGGCTCTGTGTATTTAGAGTTCATCCAGTCCCTGTACCTCTCTTTTTATTTCCCTTTTCCTAGGCAAGCTAAATGTTGCATCCACCCCATACTTTTGTTTTTTTAGAAATGCTTGATACTTATTCTGCTTTCTGTGTTATGTTTATGACCTTTCTCTCACGTTGCCTGACTTTTTGAATTTTCCCCCCATTTGCCAACTAGACTGTAATTTGCCTACAGGTGAGTCTCAGATTTCCCCAGATGAACCTGGAGCTGTAACAAAGGAAAAAATTTTGAATTCTCCATGCTTAGATGAGGGGACGTTCCTGCACTTAGCAACTAAGGTAACTTGTTTTTAAAGCTTTTTAAATTTTCTAATTCTTGCCTCAAATATTTAAAATTTGACTTAATAATTTAATCACATAGCTCAACCATGGTGATGTGGTCCGAACTTTGCTGGCATTTGGTTCTGATCCACGAGTTCAAAACAAACTGGGGCTCAATGCTGTAGATGCAGCTAATCACCATTTACGTGAGATATACATTGAAGAATTATTAAGAGCCACTGCAAGCTCTGAGTAAGTAATTCTGATGACGCAGCGTTACTATTCAGCATAATGATTTTTCTACTCATTTTCTTGAATATTTTTTTTTTGTAGCTGTGAGAGAGTTTGTCAGTTGTTAGCCGCTGGAATTTCTGTAAACTCATGGGATAGTGAAGAAAGTGGAAACACACCTTTGCATTGGGCTGCTTGTTATGGAAATCGTGAAATTGTGTCATGTCTACTAGGTCTGTACTGTACCTATCTAACTATATTTTAATTCACTAAGCTGAGAGTTAGAAATTCTAATGGTGTTAATCTCACTTTGGCCTGAATTTAGACCGAGGGGCGGATGTGAATAGTGTGAATTCACTTGGTGTGACACCCTTACATGATGCTGTAGCTAGAGGTGACATTGATGTAATTGAAGAGCTCATCCAGGCAGGGGCCAATGCTTTTGTTCGAGCTACTAAAGGGTAAGTTGGTTGTTGACAACTCTGCAATTAATGTGGTACAATTAAATATATTATGTGCCAATAATGTTTAATTTTTCTCCAGGAAATTTTCAGGAAAAACAGCTTTTGAGATTGCTAGCCAAAAGCCATCCTTAGAACTAATTATAACAAAACTGGCTCCTTATGAGACGGCATCTTCTCCACCTCAAACGTCAGGGGAGGGAAATCACAGCACCTTAAATACAGAGCAGGTGCCTCACCTGAAAAGGAATTTACCCTCTTGTCACAACACTAGGAAGCTATCATCAAGGTAACAGTGACTCAAGGGAAATACATACTGAAATTGAATCCAAAGCATGTGTTGAATAATTGGCCTCTTTTCGCTTTTTTGTATTACATCTAGCAGTATGAATAGTCCCAAGAAGGACAGATTAAGAAGTGTGTCACTTGAATCTTATGATGTTGTCAACCGGAGTAATGGTTTTGTGTCTAATGGAGGAGAAGGAAATATTCAACATGCTCCTCTTAATCATAGCCAAAGTGCTTGTTACACCCATGAATCTACTTCCCCTAAAAGTTCTAGAAGAAGTTTGTATTCATCACAGGCTTCTCTTGATCTAGCTCCAAGAATTGATCAGGTCAGGTCATGTACATTACTTATAAAGACAGCTTGATTTAAAATAGAAATGTGTTCCTATGACTCACCTTGTTGAATGTCTATTTATATTATCCAGATGGTTGAGAGCTTAGTGCGAACTCACATTAATACACCAGTTGCTCCTTTAGTGACACAAGGTCCATTGCATTTGCTATGGCCTCAGCCGCAACATATTGTTGAGCTAGGAAGTGATGCATTAGATGGAGATCCGGAGGAACCATTCTTGCCTCAGAAGGAACTTCATATATCTGTCGTCCAGGGCAACGTCTCGGTCCATAGGTAATTCTATCAGATATATTTTTGGTTAAAAATAAATTTCCGTTTCTCATTTGATCAATATTTTTACAGAATCTTGGATGTGTGGGATTTGAGCCGAACTGCATTACTAGCATTAGGATACAATGTAAAAATAGGAGATATTCAGCCTGCAGCTGGTATGGAAACTGAGAGCCAGGTTGAATGCACTGTGAATGAGGATTTGTTCAGCCATAGGGATGCATATCAGATCCATATAAGTTCAATTAAAGTAAGTGATTGTATTTGTTTTATGTGTTATAAATTTTCTATATTGTTCAACATTAATGTGAAAATTCTCTTTCCTTACAAAGGTCAAAATAGCTGCTGCCAGTTTGGCTGGCTTACATTATGCACTGTGCACTTTCACTCAACTGCTACGCTTGAGTGTTGCCGCAGCTGAACAAGAAGGAAGGAAACCAACACTCCCTTCAGTTTTAATTCAGGATTATCCTACGCAGAGACACCGAGCTGTTCTCTTAGATGTGTCACCAAATGGAAGAGTTCCCATCCTTGTGGGTTATTTTCACGTGTCTCCAATAATAGTTTTAAGCTAAAATAAATTGAGAATTAAATTTATGCTATGTCTTTCTTTTAGGATTACTTGTTCCACCTAATAGATGTTTGGTCATCGCTTAAAATATCTCATCTTCATTTGTATACTAGGCTACTTCCAAGTCATGAGTGGCAGTTATGCTATTCAAAGAGGTAAAGTGTTGTTTTTAGTACTGGTTTTGACCAACTAATTTTCAAATTTGTGGTAAATATGTAGGTAGATATTTTTTGGGGGTGATAAATTAATTGACATTTCCTTTTTACTCATTCAGTGAAATGGTGACTATAGATAGATATTGCCAAGACCGATTCATAAGCTTAGTACCAGTTCTAGATGTTGAGCCACATGTGAACTGCCAACACTTAACAAAAATGTGGCCTGCTTTCCAAGAAATAATTGCAAGTTTTCCAAATATAAGGTATGCTGACTTGGGTGCCTGCTAACATTAATAATAATTGCACATGTACAATTTAATCAGGTAACGTTTGATTTGATGACAGGTACGTTCATGTTGGACCAAGACTAAGCAGCCTTCTCTTAGCACGAGATGACGATTCTTCTACACATCGCTGCCCAAATGATAGTACAGAAGCAGGAAATCGGAGTAGCTCTGTCTCAGTAGAAAATGAAGACCTTGATAGGTTTGTGACTCAAATGCTTATGTCATGTCTTTGGTGAATTTCTAACTGCTATTTACATTACTGAATCTCATTTGTGTTAATAAGATCTCGTGGTGCGGAGAGTGATCAAATAAGCCTTGCTTTGGAAAATGATAATGGGTTGTATGGAGTTCCCAGTTTTATGAGAGAACTTTGGCATCGGCTGGATCTCCCACCCAACATCACCTTGATGTTGTGTGCTAATGGTCTGCACAGCAGATTTTATAATATTCCTCCAAATGTTGTCCTCGTAGAATATGGCTTCCAGGTTTGTTTTGAGCAACTTTGGTTCTTGTCTGCTTTTAATATAGGACTCTTTTAAAAAATCTTTTTCTGTTATTAAGGCTGACTACGACTTTGTGCAATGGACTCAAGACTTTCGCAGCCAAGGTAACATGACTTGTCTCTGTCCTGGAACTGCGAGTTGGAATAGGTGAGAAACTTTTCAAACACATTTTGTTTTTTGTGATAGCTGTGACTCACTTTGATTATGCTTTACAGCTTGGCAGGGTGCCCTGAGGCTTCCATTTGTAACATCTACCGTGCTGTACAAGCTGCACAAAAGCAAGGGTCTCTTGGAGTTGTCATTGCTCATTGGTCTGGATCTTTTCATCTGACACCCCATCCCTTCAGTTTGCCTGGTTTTGTTGTTGGCGCTGGGCTTGCTTGGAATGCCTCAACACATTGGGTTTGTTACTTGCAGGGAATTATGCAATATCTATCTATCCAACTTCTGGTTTATAATATCTTATTTTGATTCATTGCTCATTTGTTCAGGATTACTTACATACCTCTCTACCAGCTTTGTTGGATACCCATGTGTTCTTGGATAGTGCTGGTATTCTTGGAGGTGTTATCTTGGAACTAGGATATGCTGAGACTCTTGTCCTAAGAGTTAGTCGCGGACAGGATCGAAATGATCCAAGGGACCTCCCTCCCCAAGATGGTTCTGCTCTTTACAAACTTCTGACTGACCCCGACAGTGTCAATCTTGAAAGGACACCTGTTGATTTGTTTGCTGTAAGTTTATTTCCTTTAACAAATTTCTCATTTAGTCAATCAATTTTACTGTTTGTGTTTTGTGTTTTTAGAGAGTATCAAAACATATCAAAAGATGTCAGACCAGTTTATTTGCTGCTAAGCCACAATGCCGGTTTTCTGAGATGGTTGTTCAAGAATTGCAGCTGGCTGCAGACTTGCTTTTGACATCCTGTCGTATTGGCCGATCACTTGTGTCTGTTGGAACTAATCCAAACTCAAATATGGGACTATCTGTGATTAACCTAGGAATATCTAATCTCCCTCCAACATTCCGTACTGACATCGCTAACAAGTAAGCAAAAGTGTCACAAAATTCGTTAGAAATTCCAGTAAACATTCAATTTATTATAACTTAAAATCCATTTATCTCCTTCTTCAGATTACTTGCTCACATTGAACAATACAAAGGAACTTGGTTACAACGTCATCTTCCCGCTGGTCTACAAAGTTCTCTCCTGATTCTTACATCTGTTTTAAGAAGATTTGTGCCAGATGAATCCTGCTCATCAGTTTGCAGTGATACCGGTAGGTGTATATTGCTCTTTCTGTACAGATTTTGTTCAATGGTAATAATCTTGATTTTCAATTAAATTTTACCCTTCAGCTCCTTTTCCAACAAGTGGAGAGCGCTTTTGATAACTAGTATGACAAGTAAGTTATGGAGACGTGAGGTGTTTCCTTTAGAAGATTGAACTAGGACTGTGTAAAAAAAATAAAAAATTAAGGGGAAAAAATATGTGAATTCCGTATGACTATTCTTATTTTATAGCTGCAGAGCAGGAGGATATAATTTTAGAAAAAATAGTTGGTCAACCAGCACTAAGCCTAGGATGATATAGTATCATCCTAGACGAAGCTGTTCTTGTTGTTTGTTGTAAGGATATCATTTAAGATTGTTGAAAGCTTCATGTTTGTCCTTGACTAACCAGATGTTATCTATAACTTTTCCATCCTAAAAGCAAAGGGGTCAAAAATTAGTGAGTGTTGAAACAAAATACAACCTAGCATCCTCTAGCATCTTGTGTCAATAAGCTAGTGATTTAAAGTGATAAAAACAAACCTGGTCATCTGACACTTGTTCCACATAGAGATGGGTATCATTCCATGCCTTGACTTTAGTATACCCGTAGTCACTGTTTCGGAATGCTGACCACTCTGGCTTATTTGGAATGAACGGATCAGTACGCTCACTGCAACCCTGTAATCATGTATTATTTTAAAACAGTTTGTTTTTAGTTACGTTAGATCTCAGTTGATTATTTTGGTTTAACATTTTGTTTAATGTTAGAAAAAATGTGATTTTTATATAGGTCAAATTATTTATCAAAACATGTACCCCTTATGAATGTTAATTTTTGATGGACCAAAACAAACTTGTTTTGAATCTTGCTACACTCGTTAGTTTTTGGAATCATAGTGTTGTTTGCTAAATCAATATTTTACTCCAATAGTACCAATGTATTTTGGTACTGCATACTTTTATTGTATTATGTGCAGTGCATTTTAGTGCCTAACTAATGAAATGTAGGTACTAGTTGGTAATTTGTTTTTCACAATATAGCCCAGCTGTTTGAAGTATTCCATCCAAAAGTCTTTGTTTAAGATGTTTTGTCTCATGAATTTGTTATTACTTAAAGTCATTAAGCTGATCTCATCAAAATTATAGCACTGTTTTTTTAATTAATATACTCCCTTAACTAGTTTTATGTTATAGTTATAGCATTTCAAGTTTTTACCCACAGAGTATTGAGAAAGGAATTTAGATTTGTCCACCATATACGTACTGCAGATCCAGTAATTATGTGTACGGTTGCTCTTGGGTTTTGGTATGGCTGATTGACACTACCATTCAATACTTTGTAGTCATAAACTGGCCACAACCGTTCGTAAGAATGCTCATGAGCCCATATACTCAGATCAACACCATATCGATAGAACATTTCTTCAAGACCAAACCTGTAAACCAGAATTGAATTCCCTTCATCTAGTCCATCTTGGCAACTGTTTTCAAAGTTTACAGAAATGATTGAAACTTACCATTTTAAAACTGGGATTCCACTTCGTACAAATGTTGAATGTTGTCTACAATCATCAAAATCATAGTTGCTACAATACATAGGTCGATGACCATAGGTTATGATCCATGGGTGCTTTTTTCTATTTTCTGGTTCACTTGCTTTCTTCAAAGATATAAGTTCAAAAATTTATTTATTATTCATTTAAACTTTGGATGAAGAACTGATTGAATGTTGCTCTCTTTCATTATTACTTACCTTCAAGTCTTCTTCAAGCCAATAGTATTGCTTTACCAACTGCTTCATTCCATAATTGAAGTTGTAATATACTTCAGTAGACAATGCAACAAAATGAACTGGCCCCATGTCGAAGCTGTACCACAACCCCTCTGATTCTCCAGGCATACTGAATCTTGCTCTATAGTTACTGAAGTTGCTGGAATGATATTTTGAAAATGTGCATATACTTGGAACCACACTATCACAACATGAACAAAAATTTGGTGAATGTTAAGATAAAAAGTACACACTAAGTTTGCTCATGGTTGCCTGGACATGTCATGTATGGAACATATGCTGCCACAGTTTCAATTTGCCTCATGAACTCATCACCAACTCTTGCATTATCCTTAAAAAAATTTTGAAGATTAATTAGTGTATGAGTGTCAAATTTACAAATTAGAAAATAACAAACTCACCGAGTCCATGTCATATGCAAAATCACCAACATGAATTATGGCGTCATAGACACTTCTTTGAACTTCTTCTTGGAGTCTTGCTAACGATTGGGCATTTTCATTACCCATGTCACCATATATGGCAAGGTGAGGACTCCACTTTGATTCATCAGGTGGTGTTAAAAACCAAAACACCCCTGACCAACCAAGATCACTTCCACAATGATAAACTTGAGGATAGAAAGTCAATATTAAAAATGGAAATGCAAGTACATAAAAAACAGTAAGTGCTGCAAAATAAATGATACTTTTCAGAAGACTCACCATATTTGGAGCTGGAAGTTAAATTGCTAAGCAGCACCCTGTGAATATACATTACTCTCCTTTCAGAGCCTCCATCAATAAATTTTGTGGTATTTCCATGAGCTTTCAGGGCAATGTGCTCAATACCGTATTCTACAGAAGATTTACAATCACTGTATGTTGTCCAAGTGACAACAATATCATAGACATTTTCTATTAAGTCAAAATAAAGTGCACTTTTAGAATGCTTGCTTCAAATGCCAGAGATAGGTGGTAGAATAATGAGTAAACCACCAACTTACCGCCATAAGATAAATGAATCTGCTCGGGTTGAAAATAATCAGTGGCAGAACATGGTGACAATAGAGAATACACAATGAACAAAGGCAGCAACATCTTCAGATCCTGAAAATAAATTAGGTGCCGCACGGCGGTAAGTGTGTTGTGTGTCATGTAACACTTCCATGCTAATACTAAAAGCTTGAAAGAATATATAATTTACCGTGTTGAGTTTCATCATTATGCTGGGAACAACTATGTGATTTTGATGTCCTCCATCGATTTCATCTTGCCTTTGCTGTGACACAAGCAGACACTCACTAATAGATAAGCGCTAGGAAAAACAGTTTGTTTGTGTTTTTGTTAAGCCAAGCAGACGATTCTCTGGCAGATGCTGTCAGGCAGAGCCGGAAAAGGCTACAGAGAGACGAGAGACGGCAGGCAGTTCGGTCGGATTTGAATCCACTAGGCCGTGAGCTGGTCGTCAGGCGGTTCTCACTCACAGCATTGTAGTCACCACCCCGGTTCAGAGAGTTAAAACTTTTACAATGGCAGCAATCAGTTTATTGAACCCGAAAGCCGAGTTTGCTCGTGCCGCACAAGCCCTTGCTGTCAACATTTCTGCGGCAAAAGGAATTCAAGATGTAATGAAGACGAACCTCGGGCCGAAGGGCACAATGAAGATGTAAGTAAAACATAACCCTACCGGCTACCCCATGTGGTTCCGTCAAGTTTCGATAGATTTTCGACAAAGAGCAATAAATCACACTCCCGGCGTGTTTGATTTTCGTTTGCTTGTAATTCGTATTGACATACCCAGTTCTCTAGTTTACGCGTACATTTGATCTATTTCTGGTGCTTATGGCTTGGCCTATTCTCTTCATTGCTCAGCCCTTTGTTTGACATTTTCAGTCAAAAGTTGAATGATACCTTTTAAATACCATGTTAGCTTTCATCACCTTGTAGAGCTAATGCTTAAAATTTCAATTTCATCAAGCTATATGTTATATTCTGATCTGTTGGAACTGTCGAGCAGTTTGGTCTGTCCTGCACCTGTTACTATTTTTTGCTTTAACTTCCTAAGTCTTGTTGAATATGGGCTCATTCTTGTATATATGGGTGTTGTATTTAATGAAATTATTATAAATTTAATTTTTGAACCTATTCAAACGTTTTTGATCCACTTTTATTTTTTGTTTGGTTACATGCTGAATAATTCATCAACAATTAACATGAACTGAAATATTAACTATATATATATTTATACATTTCTCTCAGGAACATTATATACTTGTCTTTGTTTTTCAGGCTGGTCTCTGGTGCAGGTGATATTAAGATCACCAAAGACGGCAATGTACTTCTTCATGAAATGCAGATTCAGCACCCAACAGCTTCACTGATTGCACGTGCTTCTACAGCTCAAGATGACATGACTGGTGATGGTACTACGTCAACAGTTTTGCTTATTGGAGAACTGATGAAACAAGCTGACTTATTCATTTCAGAGGTTTGTTTCATGTATGGCATCATTGCAGTGTAGGAATTGAGAAAAGTTCGACTCATCCATAATTTTTTTTGATTTTCAGGGTTTGCATCCACGCATTTTAACAGAAGGATTTGAACAAGCCAGGAAGAAGGCTGTTGAAGTTCTTGACTCCATGAAAATTCCCGTTGAAGCTAAGAGAGAGGCTCTCCTAGACATTGCCAGAACATCATTATCTACTAAAGTACATGCTAAACTGGCTGTTGCACTTGCAGAAATTTGTGTAGATGCTGTACTGGCCATTCGGCATGATAATAAGCCAGTAGACCTGCATATGATTGAAATGATGGAAATGCAGCACAAAACAGAAATGGAAACATCACTCATCAAGGGCCTTGTTATGGATCATGGTGGCCGCCATCCTGACATGCCCAAGAGGGTGGAGAATGCTTACATTTTGACATGCAATGTCTCTATGGAGTATGAGAAAAGCGAGGTGAATTCTGGTTTCTTCTATAAATCAGCAGAAGAAAGAGAGAAGCTTGTTTTAGCAGAGCGTGAGTTCATTGAGAACCGTGTGAAGAAAATTGTTGAGTTGAAAAAGAAACTATGTGATGGCACTGACAAAAACTTTGTTGTTATTAATCAAAAGGTTGGTTGAACTAGAATTCATATCTTTTTAGAATTGATGAAAATCATGAGTTTTTATTTCCTTTTTCTTGTCTTGCAGGGTATTGACCCTATGTCCCTGGACATGCTTGCCAAAGAAGGCATTCTTGGTCTGCGTCGGGCTAAGCGGCGCAACATGGAGAGGCTTGCCTTAGCTTGTGGTGGTCAAGCAGTTAATTCTGTTGATGACTTGGAGGAGAGCTCCCTAGGCTATGCTGGTCTTGTTTATGAACATGTGTTGGTAAGGATGAACGCTGCACAAACTAGTTCTGTATTTTTTAACTGTAATTTTTGTTTCATGCCAATGTCCATTTTACAGGGTGAGAATAAGTACACATTTGTTGAAGAATGTAAGTTTCCTCAAAGTGTTACAATTCTCACAAAAGCACCCAACAAGCATACACTAGTTCAAGTGAAGGATGCAATTCGAGATGGACTTCGGGCAGTCAACAACACTCTGCAAGATGGTAAGTAACTTGCCTGCTGTACTAGTTTCAATCTCTTGCTTTTTATACTACTTATTTAGTTTTGAACTTTAACACAACTCTTTCTGATTGCCAGAGTGTGTTGTGCCTGGTGCCGGTGCCACTGAAATAGCAATTCATCAAGAATTAATGAAGTACAAGGAATCTGTCAAAGGGAAGGCTCGACTTGGCATCCAAGCTTTTGCCGAGGCATTACTTGTACTTCCTAAGACTCTAGGTAATATTTTTTTAACTTCCAGCCCTGTTTTGGATTTTATTATTATAAAATGACTGATTTTGACAAACCAATTTATTACAGCTGTGAACAGTGGCTTTGATTCACAAGATACTATTGTGAAATTGCAAGAAGAATCAGTATCCACTGGTGAGCCTGTTGGTCTTGATATCAACTCAGGCGAAGTTTTGAAACCTCAGGAGGCTGGTATTGTTGATAACTTTATTGTGAAGAAGCAAATTATCAACTCATGGTAAGCAATTAATCTTATCAAGATTTCCTATTTGTGTCTTATTGGTTCCTTACAACTCCCTCTCAATAGAACTTGATTTTTACTAATTTTTTTTCCAGTACTGTCATTGCTAGCAATCTTTTGCTGGTGGATGAAATCATGAGGGCTGGCATGTCGTCTCTGAAGGGCTGAAAGGTGATGGAGGAACTTTTAAATATTTTCTGCACTATCCCCTATGAACTATGGAGGCTTTTAAATGTAACACCATTATTCAATGGGACCTTGCTTTTGCATTTATCCTGATTTACTTACAGCACAATGAGTTTCAAAATTGAATTTTCTCAAGCTTATTCCCAGTGTTTGCAATTCATGTACTAATCTAGCCTATAAGAACTGAGTTTGTTTATTTTATACTCATCACAATTTCATCCATTCTGTATTCCTTCATACCATTCTGTGCCTTTCACTTAATTTTGTAACATATATTTAATAAAGTTTGTTTCTTGACAAGCTTCACTTAATAATTTTACTTCATTGTGAATAACCCATTATTGTGTATAGGTATATAAAAGTGGCACTGCATTTTGTTTACTGGGTTAGTGATGCAGAGACTCATTGGTAGAAAGTATACTCGGCATGGTTAATTATCCATTTGTAGTGGCAAACTAAGGAAAATGAGCAGAAACATCAAATTTCATTGTCAATTTATTACAATACCTTCAACAGATTGCTGCTAAGAGATCATGATACACATTTCCTCTATTCTCAAGTCATCAAATGGACTACATGATGTAAGATGCTTTGGACACATTTTATGTAACTAAACAACAAATGAACCCACTGATACTGTAATAATACAAAATCACTGTTACAAGAGCTTCATTTAAACATGCATATCTAAATTACCAAAATATTTGTTAGCCATAATGATGACTAGATCATGTTCGATAATACCTCATTTAATGTGGAACTTGTGTCCACAAATTGCATTTGTGCTTGTGTGCGTGCATGCATATATTTAACAAATTGGCCCCTCTGCATGAGTTGAATATCTCAAGACATGGCACAGAAATTTCCATGGATTCGTAATACTCTGCGGATGTATGCTAAGGCTACTTAAAATATTATTTTATGGTAACTTACTTTTCAAAAATTATACTTCATAAATGTTAATTTTAAATTGAATAAAGCCTAAAGAAATGAGCAAATAGGTATCACAATTCCATCAAACTAGTCATGGTCTATAAAAAAAAGAGCTACCAAAAGATATTTAATACTGGAATTCAAGAGCACAATTATATGCCATGTTTAAAAAGCAACAACTCCTACACACATATGAAAATTTGGTGCAAAAGTGGAGTAATTCATAAGAATAAATAATAGTATTTCATTTACGCTTTGAGTGCACTACCACATACAGAGGTGTAGTGGCAATAATTTCTTTAAGAGTACAAGGGTACACCAGGTTTCTAACACTGGCTTCCTGAGGGTGTACATATATAGCTAAGCACATCCCAGCGTCTCAAAGCTTGTACTGTATTTTATAGTTGGATCCACTTACGTAAAAATATAAATTAGCAAGAACTACCAACACACAATTCACTGTAAGGTCTTGGGAAGTATTCTGGGAAGGCAACATTCCAAACAATGGCAGTAATCATTAAACCAAAATACAAAATGATGGATGCCCACCAGATAACACGTTCCCATGAGCGCACTTCTAGATTTCGTAGAACTTGTATACCAACCAAAAGACCAGCTACAGCTCCAGCCAAATGAGCTACATAACCAACCTGAAACCAACCACAAATGGTTATTGTTTAGGTAATAATTATTACTCAATATAAGAACATGAATGACGATGAAAACATACCCTATCATCTACTTGATGCAGTCTATTGTAAATAGCAGTTCCCACATCAGATACAATAAGTAACAGGAATACAATAAGTTGGTAGATTGCGAATTGCATCTCTTGGAAATTCTAGATAGATCAAAAGAAAACAAGGTCACATATAAGAAAAAATATGCACTTTGATTTAGAGAACGATGTGATAAATTTAAGATTATGTTATCCATACCATAATTATGGTTGCAATATGAGCTGTCATGATGGCATACACACCACCAGATGCTCCCGCAAGGTACACGTTGGGATCAGAGACTGATGTACCCAGAGACCCAGCCACAACACCAGCCAAATAGATAAGAAGAACACGCCACCAACGGTGTACCATCTCAAGAGGGATTCCCAACATGATTTGAACCATCAGATTAACAGCTAAATGAAACACTCTAGATTTAAAAAACAAAAATACATTGTGTGATTAAAAAACCATCCAAAAGAATTGGCCACTAGATCAGTACTTAATAAAATGTAAAACTTACCCAACATGCACAAACATGTAAGTTAAATAGCGCCAAGCTTCGTCCCTCTCTCGTGGGTTATAAATGAATAGTTTAGCTGCTGGCCCACTAACTGTAGATTTGCCAGTTTGAATTACATCATAAAGAAAAGCAATTATCTAGACATGGAAAAAAAATGTTTCAAATATAATGACAACAATTAAAGAAATCATTAAGCTTGTATTTTTTAGTTAGAATTTCCAAAAACCTCACCTCAAGAATGCTCACAATAATCATACATACTGCTGGGGGATTGCATGAGTACTCATCTTCATATTCACCATAGTCAGTGGTGTCCACAGCACGTGCTAACACAACAGAGGGAGGAGGTCGCCTTGGCACGATTGTCTTACTTATGAAGGTATGAAGCCCATGACCAAAAGCTGTTCGTACTTCTGGATCCTGAATCTAAAAGAAGGAGTTATTGGGTTATTGCTGAATTTGAATTCAGTATGAGGTAATAAAAACCCAAGGATACAGTAAGATATCTCACCATCTTCAGAAATTCGTCGTACTCAATATAACCATCTTTGTTCTGATCTGCTTTCAATAACAAGCGTTTAATACACCGATTAGGAATGTCATGTTCAAAATGTTCACATTTGACAACTTTCTTCATTTCTGCTAGAGATAGCCTGCCATCAGCATCCTCGTCATACTAAAAATAAAAATATTGTGTGACACAAAACAGTTTAAGGGTGGAACTTCCATGGAGCAAACTACACACCCATCACCCTGGTTGCCCTACTGGACTGTTTCTTTCACGCAAAATACATTCATACAATGTAAAATCATATTTAACATTCACAATCCAAATTGTAAGCGAAGTGGTTCGTGATTGGTGATGGGTCCTTTGATTGCTACACTCGAGTTCCATCATAAAACTTCCAAAAACATAAAAGAAAATGAACACCTCACCAACATACTTACTTTGTTAAAAACCATCTGCCAATGCTGTAAAAAAGTTGATAATTTTATTTATAAGCAGTTAGAAATGTAAGTAACGGTTTAAGTCACTCAATCGTGTAAAAGAGAAAGATAGGTATTTAAGATTTCTAAAAGAACTTACTGGGTACAATTGTCCCATGTTGATGGCTGTCCTGTTATTGACATCACCAGACGAAGCCATATTATCCGTAGAAAGGTCCTAGAAAAAATCAGAACACACTTTGTGGAAAATAATGTGATGAATGTCAACACCTATCTTGCTTGCTTTCTGGTTCAACAGGTACCTCAAGCCAGCAATAGTCTACCCAAGTTCAAACATTCGATCCTGACTTTTAAATTAAAAGACTGACTTGACCACTGTTGCTCTATTTATTCGTCAACGATAAAATATAAATCGAGTGTGTCATGTGGCACTTGGTTACGAATACCAGTACTTACTAACCCGAACAACGAATGATAGATACCTCCTTCGGCACACAGCACAGCAGATAATAGAGTCGATGTTTTATCTGTAGGCGAGGTCGCCAAGTGAAACTCTCTTTCCAAAGCCGGAAGATGAGTCAGATGCGTTTCCTCTCGCGCTCCAGTGTTAAAAAAAGGACACAAAACTACCTGTTTGGCCGAACACTCACCCTCACGGCCGAACCGTTGTGTTGTCTCGATTCCACCTCCACCTCTTCCCAAACATTCCTCCCACCCCTGCCTCTACCGCCTGCCACATCCCCTCCCCCTCTTCCTACCCCCATCCTTGTCAATGACCTCTGCTTTTGCAACATACAAGAGCTTGTATCTAATTACGGCTACTCTTGCTAAGATGTCTACAATTCTAGTTTATTTGCTATGCAATAATTACACCTTTATAGGATGTCTTCATTCAAGGAAGACGAGAAAATAAGGAAATGAACTATGACTCACTGAACTTCACGAGAAGTTTCTCATTCGTCGGTATGCAGGGTTGTTGATTTAAAACAAAGGAACGCGAGATTTGTAAACACAAACAGACGAAAATATGTCAATTTCAAACAAATGTCAAGAAATGACTACAGAATGGTTTGAATCGCAGTGTCAACCGACCAACGATTTAACAGTCTAATACTTTGTCGTAATTTCTTGTGAACAGCACGTCATCACATAGAAATGGGCTGCTCTTTCTGTAATCCCGCTAAGGACGAAGAGGAGGAAGTACAGAAACCCAAAGAGTATTCATGGTAGTTAAATCTTACCACTTACCATAATTTCCTGTTTTTTTTGGCCAAATCCTGACTGTCTTTTTGCCTTGTCAGGGATAAAAAACCAAAAATCGACCCAAGTGATTTTATTATAGCAAATTACAAAGGGGAGGATGTCTGCCGTGTACCTGGTTCTGTGAACGGACAACAGCTTGTTATTCAAAACTGCTCAAATAATATGATATTTGTTCTTGACTGCATCGATTCTATCAATATTGATGACTGTACAAATTCAAAAATAATCCTTGGTCCTATCAAAGGAAGGTATATTATTGGAAGTGCAGTAGCAATTAATTTTGTCATTCCTGCTTGACAGCAGCAGGTAAATAAAACTGGCTTTTATTTTGTTTGAAGTGTCACACATGTCTTCTGTTGCAGTGTTTTTGTTAGAGACTGTATTGACTGTGTCTTAGTTGTCCCTTGTGGACAATTTCGCCTCAGGGACAGCCATCGTTTAGACATATTCCTTCACTGTGCAACACAACCAATCATAGAATCGTCCACCCATATAAGATTTGCTTGCATTCGTCTCCACTATGATCTCCTTACAGGTCTGGCATTTATGCTATTTAACCATTACTACAACATTCACCTTGTTCCCAGACGCTTTCCTTAACTTTCCTTAATTGTACAAATTTTTCTCTTCCAGACCACATGAAGACTGCTGGACTCAGTTCATTTAATAATTTATGGAATAATGTTCATGATTTTACGCCTGTTGATGGAGATGGAAATTGGCACCAACTACCAGAGAAAGTGCGTCTGCAAGACTACATAACTCCACCTTTCCCACCTCAACTTCGAGAGTAAGCGCACAAGCATTTTTGATGTACCTAGTTTTTGCGCATTAGGAGCCTAAATTCTATTTTAAACTAAATCTTTACCTATCTCTTTTAGTGTTGGGTGGACTGTGACTGGCGAATCAAAAGCACTACCAGTAAATCTTGGAGAGACTGACTATTTTGGAAAGGAAATTTGCCTCATTCTGGTGTTTAGTGATGAAGAAAATCACCAGAGTGACGTTGCTTTGGATTTCTTATCAGCTCTCCTTGCAATCAATGTAAGATTACATTTGGTTCTCCCATGAATGTTGAGAAATGAGTCACCATCAGCAATTGGTTATTCTAACTTCTAGCATTGCCCACATTACAAAATATTAATTTTTTCATAGAAAAAATGTGCCCTGCTGTCAAGTAGAGAGGTTCAACTCCAGTCTGCTGATGCCAGTGCCATGGGACTAGGATCTGAAGAAGCAAAGAAACTTGAACAAGGGCCAGTCTGTGGCCTGATTATTGGTGGAGATAATTGTGCTCAATCAAGCTTGCAGGTAAAATTACCTTCTGATTAAGCAATGTTTATCCAGATGGATTTTTTTTCTTCTTCAAATATTTCATTGAAAGATTTTTTTTTCTCATGCCTTTTCAGGTACTACAAAATTTCAGCATTCGAGGCAATGTGTATGTCAATCACGATCCGATCACTGCTCCCAAACAGGCACATAGCTTTCAGCAATGTGCTGCTATGCATCTAGGATGTTAAGCACAATCCTCACATTTTATAGATTTTTTTTACAGCAAAATATCAAGTTAGTAGTTGGTATGTTACTTTTTATTATTTTTTATCCTTTCTTAGATTTTTAAGTAAGGAGAGATTTAATATCAGGAAATTGAGAGGGTTGAAATGATGTGAAGTGACCTATCAAGGTGGCTTATTTTCTAATACTCAATTGTGTGTTATGGAAATGACCTTTATCTGGTACAAAGAGACATTCTGGTGGTTAAAGCAAAGCTAGCATTTAATTTGTGCTATTGGTGTGTTAGGTACATATACAATACTAGTCCAATGTATTTAATTTCATCAAGACTTTTACATTTACTGCATCAGCATGTGTAAGGTCTAATATGCTGATGAATTAAAATAGCAAGCTCATGTGAGGGAAATTTTGAGGTACAAATATTATTGTTAACTGTCGCCCAGGTAGCAAAACCAGCAAAAATGCACCATGACTGCATTGTGTGTCCAATGTAAAATGTACCCATAATATGTTTAAAGCGCTTAAAATGCGCCTTAGACGTCTAAAATTTGCATTGTGGATTGGATATATAATGCAGTCATGATGCAGATTTGCTACCGGGGTCTAGTCCATCATTACCAACATTGCTGTGTGAATTGTGTCATTTTATGAATCTAGATTTTAATTTAGATTAAAAAAATAATCTTAGAATCCAGTGAGTGAATCCGTCCTTGTATAAATATGTCAGGGGCTTTTCCTGCACATTTAGTTGTTCTATTGAGCGTTTACTGTAATAAATGTTTTTTTTAGCACCGAAGACCGAAGTGATATTGCTGCTGTATTATTTTATTTTTTGCTTTAGGGAGACTGAGCATGGTCTTATTTCCAACAGACTGCCACATTTCCGTTCGTTTTCAAGTTAGCCGACGAGGGATGCCATAAGCGCGCCGCTGGTGCCGCCCCGCGGGCAGGTGGTCCCGGGCTCCAGAGGCTCGACGCACTCGGGGGCGCTCCAGCACGTGACCCGCTCGCCCTCAATGAAACACACTTTGGGCTGGTTAGACGCTCTCAGCTCAGGGTCCTGGAAACAAGGTAGATTATCAGACAACACTTTTTATTTACTTTATTTTTGGTGAACGCGAGGGTGAACGTCTTCTGAGGAGCATTTGTGGTGAACACTCCACCACACAAACAATGCATTTTTTAAAAGGACTATCGAGCGTTTATTCCCCTCACAAACTGAAAACGTTGTTTACATGCATGTGATGAGCTGTCCCCTTTTGAGCCACTTCCACGACTCTGCGAGGCATGCGTTAACTCCCATGCGCCTCTCCCACATGCGCCGCGCACAACGATTGAGGTGTCCTCATCCGGCGATGAGTTGCGCTGCCAACGTTGCATAGCGGGCACCCGATGGGTTTCTGTTGCCGGAGAAGTGGTACGCGCAGTCGATGTAGGGCGTGCTGGGCAAGATCCAGACAGTGTCCGTATTATTGGGGTCTCGTGGGTCGAAGCAGTAGTCGTAGGGGACCATCTCGGCGAAAGTCCAGTAGCAATAGCTACCCCCGTTACTTAGCGGCAAGCCGTACTTGTTGCAGTCGACCGCATCATCCTGCAAAATCATAAACGAGACATGCCGTACGCCATACACGTTTGCTGATGCTGAAGAGTGCGCAAGGTGTCCCCGTTACAAGCAGGACAAGACAAACATTCCACAAGGATTAACTAAAGTATAAAATCATTTTTCAAAGGCCATTTCGTCCCGATAGTTTTGTTATGTTTATTCCTAGCACAAACCGTGCTCCATTTCTATCTCCGTGCATGGAGCTCTGTCCCATGGCGGTACATGCGTTAGCGCATTTAAATTCGCACTCTTCGTCGATCCTCCGGCATGTGGCCACTAGAGAAAATGAGAGTGGCGTCCCCACCCGCCGGAGATAAGTTGTGAAGCGTGACCCGGTAATGGATCTTGTTGGGGTGTTTCAGGCGGACGCAATAGTCGTAGGAGGATCATCTCGACGTAAATCCAAGTAGCAATAGCTATTTAGCTAGAGAGTATACTCCCGTGACGATATTCCCGGCACGCACAGTACATATGGCAGTTGGCCGGACCACCCTGCAAATGTGTTGTGCGAAAGAGTGGGTTTACTCAAGTAGCTGTTTTCAGGCCGAGCCTTCAAGGTATTGCCACAGCAAACGTTTCACGAGACGGCGCCAATGATGACGCCTGCTATGCGTCGGGTAGGCCAGCCCGCCAAGCATCCGTGTGGAGCCGGTGGCCCGCTCGCAGCGCCTGAGTCGACGGAGGCTGGTCGTGATACTATGGTCGATGAGGCGCACCAAAACCACAAATGAAACATGCCATACGTCGTACACTTTAGCTCATGCCGTAGAGTGCGCAAGGTAGAATAGGTTCCCGGTTCCCGATACAAGCAGGACAAGACAAGACAACATTCCAAATGTTTTTTTCGCTTGTTTATTACACTAAACGGTTCTACAGTAGCAAATTTACTCCAGAACTAATTAACATTATTGCATGTCTGAGCTCAACCGACATTGATTACAGCAGTTGGAGGGATCAACAATAAAATACTCAGACACATGGAAGTAGGATATTACACACTTACTGTGTTTTTCGTCGGCACATTTCGTTGCCCTCATCAGTCTTTCGCAGGCGAGGTGCTGCTGTGCTGCAGCTAGCCACTCACCTTCAGTCCGTTGGCCATTGCAATCGGCCAAACCAACTCCAAATGAATTACTGGAGCGGGGCCAATATCAAAGAGCAACAGAAACAACCAACTGTCGTTAGGATTACATCTGCGTGGCAATTTCACAACGTCACTGTCACGTTTCAGCCGCCGACGATTGTGGCAATGAGCATGGCTATCTTGCTGCCTTCTCGGTCGCCCAGCACATCCAGACAGTGCAGCCTGGAGCCCTCGCCCGCGCCCTTCACGAAGCAAACCTCCGCGACGTCGATCCAAGCGGGCCGCGCAGTCTGCGGGGTCTAAAGAGACAGGGTTTACCAGAGGTCCTTCCCCCTCAGCCAACCAGCGTCGCGATGAGCGAGGGCCCGAGCGGGGCGCGGTCCTGCAGGAAGTCGCTGCAGCGGAGGACCCGACCGGCCGCCGAGTCCTTGATGGAGCACACCTCGGCCCGGACGTCCACCGTCACGGACTCCCGCGTCCCCGGGCGCGCGCCGGGCCGCGGCGCCTGCGTGCACGACCACGGCCCGAAAGCAGAGAACATGTCAAAGCACTGGCATGCTGCACGAAGACTGGGGACGAAGGCGAGGGGAACTTCACAAAAAATTCAAGTGTCTACCAATTTTTCTATTTTGTTTTGATTTTTTCTGATTTTTCAAAGTTAATTTTTCTTGTTTTTATCTATTTTTTCCTGATTATTTTAGGTTGTACCGTACCGGCTGCCCAGTTGTCCAGGCCCAGACATGCAAATGCGTTGGGTTGCCTATGCACTGGATGCAGAGGCAGCAGGCAGCAGCGCGCGGGGCGGGTGGCGGGGAAGTGTCAGCTCCCCCACCACTCCGCCACCCGCCCGCGCCTGCTGACCCTGCAGCCAGTGCATAGGCAACCCAACGCACTGCCATGTCTGAGCCTGGATACTCGGTACAGTACACTCATTTTAAAAAAAAGTGAAGTACCCCTCGAGGGAAGAGGTGTCAGAGCGTCAGCTGATGTCTAGAGCGACGCAAAGCGTTGGTACGACTAGACCATGCAAGAGGGTGACTAGCGTGCGGCGTTTTGTTTCGGCTGTAAGGCCACATTCTCTCATGTGAAAGGCTCTCGTACCTGGCTGTATTTGGCGTGTCTCAGTTTGCCGCAGAAGTTCTCCGGCGACCACCAGATGTCGCCCGTCACCTCCCTGGGCTGCGTGCCGTGGACAGGGGCCGCCTTGGAGGACACCTCGCCGTTCTCCACGCGGATGAACGTCTTGTAGTCGGTGTCGCTGCAGAGGACGGGTCTCTGTTAGGACGGTCCTGGGAAGCACAATCGTGCCCCGACCCTCAGCACTCGCACTTACCCGAAGAAATAGGTCCAGCGGTTCGGGTCCTCGGCCGTCTTGTTGCGCTTCCATTCGACGCCCTTCTCCAGCTGGCCGGGGAAGCCGCCGTTGTCCAGCAGGATTTGGAGGATGTCCAGGTTCTGGTTGACGGTACTGTTGGTCACGTCCAGCCAGTTCTTACGGCACTCCTTGAGCTGCTCGGCGGTGTAATCCTGATTGGTCGAGGAGGACGCCGGGGCTGCCTGCAGCGGTAAGGACACGCTAGGTTACTCTACTGAGCGCCCCGCGGTAGGCACGCCCGCACGGCAGCGGAGTTCGCCGTGACCGAGAGGCTGCCTACCCAGCTAGGCGTTGGGACCACGGCCTCACCTGCCGGAGCTCGGTCGCGGCTGTGGTCGGCGCAGCTGCGGTCGAGGAGGCCGCAGCTGTGGGCGCAGCGGTGGCCGCTGAAGTGGGGGCAGCGGTGGGCGCAGAAGTGGGTGCAGCTGCGGGTGCGGCGGCGGGTGCGGCGGCAGGTGCAGCGACGGGTGCGGCGGCAGGCGCCGGCGACGACCCGGCCTTGGGGGGCGCATCGTGGTGGTGGAGGTGGTGGTGGTGGTCGTGAGCGGTCTCTTCGCCGGCGTCCTCCGGTTTGCCCAGGACGGCGCCGATCACCTTCTTGGGGATGGTGGTGAAGGCGTCGCCGAAGCCGGCCACGGGGGAGGCCGCGGCCTGCGAGGGTCCCGTGACGAGCACCGCCGCCGCCAGCAGGACGGCCACCGGCACGAGCACCTGCAGACACGAGCGGGCGTTAGGACGGGCTGTCCAGGAAGGACACATACTCTCGCACAACGGGAGGTTAGGTTACCACTGCGCCTACTTGGCTGGCTATCGGGGATTACGGGGCCGGGGACCTGCGCGTAAATGTGGAGCGCGCGGCGGCCGGGGGGAGGGGCCGCGAGGTGCCGAGGGGCCCACCCCGTCCGCAGCGGTTTGCTACAACTTGCGCCACGGCGCAACGTTTGCGCTGCTGCCTCCTGGGGGTTGGGAAGCAGGCGGGCAGGTGAGGTGGGCTCGTGCGCTGGCCGGAGACGTCTTCGGAAGCAGCCGCGCCCCGGGTCGGGCTGCCGCCGGAGTGTTGCGGGAGAGCGCCACGCTGATTGGCTCTCACGAGATGAGTGAGAGGGAGCAGCCGACTGATTCAGAGGATCGCGTTCATACCTCCCGTATAGGCCTAGGGTACATCAAATCGCGTAATTTGCGGTAATTTACGGTAAATTACCGAGAACTTTTGTATTACCGGTAATTTTAAATCCAGTCCCCACACCCGGTCAGTTGGTTGGGTGGGTGGGTGCGATTTGACGTACCCATAGCTCCGTCCTTGTCGCACTCATGGCAACCATGGGGCAACCCCACTTGAACGCTCCTCTGAATCAGCCGGCAGGTGGCTCTGCCTAATGGCTCTGCCGATCGAGCGGGTCAGTTGCAGTGCAGAGCCGGGGCAAAGTGTCGCGAGGTGTCGGAGTGCATTTGTGTTTTGTGTTGTGATTGTGCGATAATCATGCAGTTTGCGATGAGCCAAACTACAAAAGGAGGGGGACTGTCGCCGTGTCCAGCGGGCGGATGAAACCATCATTACTTGAAGGTACCGTTCGCTGTAGACTTGGCGATGTTTTTGTTTAGGCACGCGACTCTTTTTTCATTATTTTGTATTATCGGCTAGCTGTTGTCATAGAGAATGTGTGCCGCCTATATAGTGACCGAGAGTGACCTGACCAGGATAGCCCGGCGCAAGTTGTACCTTTTTGGGTGCCCGTCGCGTGATGCCCATTCGCTCGCTTGGGGACCGGCCTCCGGCTGAGGGCTTTTGAAGAAGAGCCTCAGGCAGTCGCGGCACAAGTTGTGTCCACAACAGTGTCCGCAAATCTTTCCATGTGGGGCCACGATAACTGAACGTTTGTTTGTCGAGGAGAGGAGAGTGCCCGCCCCGCCGTCCGGACGACCGGCCGGCGGCCGGCTGGGTCGACGTGCGTTCGAGAGCTGCTCACTTCTGACGGAATGCAATGATGTCACCGTCACGTCACCGCCGATCGGTCTCTTACTTGAGCGAGCGATAGAATTTACATGACGCCCCATGGCGGCACGTGCACACGATACAGCGTTGTTATGTTATCAATGCGTTATTATTATTTTTGTTTATAAGCTTGTTCTGTGGCGGAGGGAGGGGGCTGGCAGCGAAGAAAATTTTAATCGGAGGCCACCCGACAAGCAGCAGATTTCACACGGCGCTACGCCACGCCACGCCACCTCCTCAGCGCTACCTTCTTTTTGTTCCTCTTATCGGGCAACTTCCTCATAAGAAAGAGCACGATGTCTTGGCGCCTCAAGTGACATTTCCACGCCTATAATTTTAACGTCATGGCTGATCGGGTCATATTGCCAGGGTGCGCACGTTGAAACCTTGCAAAGCAAAATAATCTTGAAAATAATAGATCCTTTGCAATTACGAAGCAATGATTTGTAAATGCAAAGCAAACTCTTTGCAAATGCAAGGAATTTGGCATTTTGCTTTGCAAGCTTTAAACTGTGCGCTGCGGTGCGCGACTAGCCGACTAGTCGCACCGTTATGTCCCTCTCCTCTCCACCAACTGCGGGCTGATCGCCGCGACACGGGGCCGATGCACGGCCGCGGGTAATCCAGGAGTATTCTGGAGGAAATGCCGGGGTAATCCATGCTAATCTGAGGGTAATTCAGAGGTAAAAGGAGGTAAACCGCGGGCAGCCTCTGGGTTATCCAAGAAATTCGGCGCAATCCGTTGAACCGGTTGAACCATGTGACAGGGCAGGGGCGTAGGAAGGTCTTAAAAATTTGAGGGGAGGGGGGGCACGGCGCGTGGGTTGCCCATTTCTCAGGGGCAGTTTTCATAGTGCGCTGGGATGAAACAGTATTTACTTTGCATATTAAGTGAAAAATTTAACACTTCCATGATGCTCATTGCTGAAATAGTGATTTCTCTATCAATTCAAAGAATACAAACTGTAGGGACTACAAACTATCTGGATTTGTATCTTTTATTTTTCTGAATTTAAGCAATCTAATTTTTAGCACATGTTTCTGCGTTGATTTGAACACTTTTGTGCATGTGCATTCATTCGCACGAAATCATGCTCCTGAGTCTTCGTGGTTTGAGGGTTAAATTTCAAATTTCTGACTGTACCGGCCTAAAAGTTGGGGGGGGGGGGCAATTTTCCGGCCCCATAGTCTACTACGCCCCTGTGACAGGGCTACGGCACAACAGTGTTGCGGATTTGCCTACTCTAGGGACCGTGGCGCTGGCGCTCTACTAATGGAGCGAGTAAGGAAAACCCACGCATTCTGCAGTATCGTAGCACTCACACACATCACAGTACACGAGATCTGACTCGATTGTTATCACTCGCAAAACCCCGCAAGTATGTCGTGGATAGGCACCAGACACCAGTCATTAAGTCACGACTCTGGATCGGGCGCCGCGCGGGCGCCTCGCCTGGACGGGAAGCCCGACGTTTGACGTCAGAACGCGTCTTCGACACAGAACACAGATAGAACAAGAGCGGGGTGCGGTGCGATTTGGCGGCGGCTTCGTGTTGCGGCGCTCACGTGCGAGAGGACGCGAGCGCAAAAAGGATGCGATGTGGGAGGAGGACGCGTTGCGGAGAGTACGCGATGCGGACGCGGACGCGAGCTTAAGGGATCGTCCAGAAATTACGTCCGTTTTTATCGCGGATTCATTCGGCAAAATACGGGCCGAGCCCGGCAGTGCGGCGCCTGCGAGACTCGGGGTAGGCCACCCCGCAGTACACGATTGTATCAGCAGGCTCGATGTTGCCTACCTAGCAGGCGCTACGAGAGCTTGCATCGGCGGAACATGGTGGACTCGTACACGGCGAATGGTGGACGCACTTTCTGAATGGCCCCTTATCACTCGGACGAGTCGAGATGAGTATTCGACGGCGGAGTAAAGCACCGCACTTGATCCGAGACGACACGTCTTGCTGCTGGAGAGAGAAGGCACGAGCGGCACGAACCAACGCCATTGTAGGCCACCGCCTCTGTGAGCGAACAACTTAGCGCGCGGCCGGCTGAGCTCGCGCTGCCGCAGCCCGAGTACTGGACACTGGTGGACACACTACTTCGCCCTCGACTCCGGCGCGGGTCGCCGGCCTTCAGAGGGCCCCCGCACCGCCGCTGAGACGCTTTCCGGCCCGCTCCGCCGCGTACCTGGAGCTGTGTTCTCGCCATGCTGAATCAACGTCCCGGGGGCTACTGGCGACTCCAGGGAGACCTCTGGAGATCGCGGGTGCCGCCGCGCCGGGAGAAGCTCGCCCGGCTCGGCTCGGCCCGGCCTGGCCCGGCGCGGCTCTAGGCCCGGCGCGGCGCGGCTCCGCTCGCTCGTGCAAACCGGTCTGCCGATGGTAGGTCTCGGTCGGTCAGTCGCCAATCATCCGTCACCAAGGTTATTATTTGCGTAACAGGAGCTCACCTGCTAAGATCCAGAGGATCCTCTCCGCGGGTGTCTTCTCCTTTTTTTTTCTTTATCCTTTTCCGATCAGCGCCAAGCTCACGGAGCGTCTCGCGTGTGCGGGGGAGCGGAAACTGTTATTGTAATCACTGTGTTATTAATTGGCGGAAGGGGCGGCAAGTTTTATTGAAATGTGCGGCTATGACGCCGCCTTTTTGGAAAAGTGAGTCAGGACAGTACAGAGCTCTAGTACGATACGGAACACCCCAAAAAATGTGTTCTCAATTCAAGTATTGATCTTAAAATTTTGAGCCCCATTTCTTGTTTTAGGTCCTATTTGTTCCTTAAAACAAAAACCTAAGCTTGCGCTAACGTGGGAGCAGATGATATAGCTTTAATTTTCAGTTAGTGTGCTTCAAAGTAGGTTACAATACCATACGTAGGCCTTGCCAAGAGTGGCAGAGCTTAGCAAAACATAGTGGTCAGGGGGACCATAACAAAGCAAAAAGCGGTTCGCTAAAAGACAACAAAACTAGATTCAATACACGGAAAATTTTTGTTGTTGTTACAGCGAAACATTAGCTATGGCAACGATTATTTCCATGGCAGCGGCTTAGCGAACATTATTGCATGGGCTAGCTAACTCAATAGTTTTGTTAGCTAAACTTCATAGTTTTGGGAACTAACAGTCAGCTAACAGCACGTTTTACTACTATCCCGGATCTGAAAACGTCTGGTACAGCTGATGATATTACGTAGCACAGGCAATAAGTCAGAAAATTTACACTCCAAATGCAAAATTTTCTCCGTAGAAATTTTTACGTAACGTCTACGTACGTCTTACATTACGTCTTACGTTTCGTCTTACGTTACGTCTTACGTTACGTCTTACGTTTCGTCTTACGTTACGTCCTACGTTACGTCTTACGTTTCGTCTTACGTTACGTCTTACGTTACGTCTTACGTTTCGTCTTACGTTACGTCTTACGTTACGTCTTACGTTACGTCTTACGTTACGTCTTACGTTACGTCTTACGTTACGTCTTACGTTACGTCTTACGTTACGTCTAAATATTTTGCTGACATGGCAAATAATTTTGCTGATACAGCAAATAATTTTGCTGACACAGCAAATAATTTTGCTGACATAGCAAATAATTTGCTGACACTAGGTAGTGCAACAGGTGGGCGGAGACGAACCACTTTTTTGGGACCACCGATCCCCCTATCCCTCCCTCTCTCCCTCTAAAAGATTAATATGTGGTTAAAAATGCCTAATATTTGCTTAATATTAGTTTAAGTAGGTGTTGTACAAGCAGTGATACTGGAAGTATCATCTGCTAAAAATGGGGTTCAAAATTTTAAGAGCACACTGGTAAAACAAGTGTGCAATATTTGCACACCAACGTGTGCAAGTTGTCATTTTGCACATTACATGGTGTTTAACTCAAGTTGCACACTTGCGTGATGTGCAAATTTTAGACGTTTTGTAAACGTTTAAATGCTGCACACTTGGACACACACAGTTCTATGCTGTCAATAGGGAACCATACGGTGTGCAGCTGCTATACGTTTCGGAAGTGTCGAAAGTTTAAACACCAATTGACGTATAACATAGTTACACACCACAAAGTGTCGAGAAAATGCACACTTGAACTTAAACGTCAATTGACGTGCAAAATTAAACACTTGTATTACCAGTGCAATACATGAATTGAGAACACATTTTTTGGGGTAAGTAAAATACAGAGTTAAAAACAGAGGAAAATAGTACAATGCAGAGTACCGGGTGTAACTGAGAATGCGCAACAGTGTTGCGGGATTGCATGCCCGCCAGGGCTGCAGGGGCCATGGCGTCTTACGGGCTAACTGGGTAGGCAAACCCGCAACACTGTTGCGCATTCTCAGTTACACCCGGTACATAGTATACTGTGAGAGGAGCCTCTCGATCTCTTATCATCCTACAACAACTTATGAAAACTAAAGCGTGGGAGGAAAATGAACCAACAGAACTCTCCAAAGCTATACAAGAAACTGACATAAAACAAATCCTGGAGAGTATCTCTTATGAGAGATGATTACAAAAACAGAAGTAATGACGCTATACAGGGTGTCCCATCGAACACGTAATTTTTTTTTTATACTGCACCGCATGCAGGTTTTTGGGGCTGGCTGGGCTCCTCAGTCGGCGGAAGGGGGAAGGGGGTCATATGGGACACCCTGTATGTCATCACATCGACCTTAACCGCCTCGGCTCATGCCCGCAAAATTATTTTCACGAACTTGCCCGAGTGCAAAAACTTCACGGCCAGACGGGACGGGGCGACGCAGCGGCCGTCGCGTCGCAACGGAACGCAATAAAATCCTACACCGGTAACCTGCGGGGCTGGGAAGCAAAACAAACAGAGGCGGACGAAGGAGGGGAAGGGAAGAGAAGAGGTGTGGAGTGAAGAGGAGAGCCGCGAGGAGAGCTGGAGAGAAGAGAGGAGGACTGAGTCACCAAAGAACATTGCGGTCTGCTTGCGAGCAGCAGCCCGTGGGAGGAAGGGGACACGGTGTGTGGGGAGGAGGGGGGAGCGCTTCCAGGAAGCTAGCGTGCTGCGCCGCCCGGTCGGGTCAGGGATAACGCGTCCGTGTGTGACTTCCACCGAATGTTTATTAATTTGCTAATGTCCAGGTTTGGCGTCCGCACGACACTCTTTCTCTTTTTCTGCTCTTCGGCAGGGAACTCTGTTTGGTAAAATGTACACGTCACACACAGTACGGAAAGCACTCGCCGGTTTTGCGATAATATGGCCATGTCGCTGGACGTGATGGTGATTTACCGCGGTTTTGTTGTCCGTGTTCATATCTCGTAGACACAACTATGACACAGCGCTGAGGCTGCTAGGAAAGGCTCGAGATTAGAAAATAATCCCACCGCAACCCGCACATCGCGTCCCCGTGCCGATACTACAATACGCCTCCCCGCAGGCTGCGGGTCGATCCTGATCAGGGGGTAGTTTAATTTATATTCGCACATGACAATACAAACAGCTGCAATGCGCTTTAATTATTCTGATAGGGAAGCTCTGAGAGGAGGAGTACAGAGGAGGTGGGGGAGGGAGGGACGCGGGGACGGCCTAACAGCAGGTGCGTCAAAGGGTTTTTCGATAATGAATCGTTTGGCAGGCAAGGGGGGGGGAGGAGTATCGCACCGCACGGTCGCGATGGAGGAAGTGAGGGAGGGGGGGGGAGAGAGAGAGAGAGAGAGAGAGAGAGAGAGAGAGAGAGAGAGAGAGAGAGAGAGAGGGAAGGGAAGGGAAGGGAAGGGAAGGGAGGAGGTGTGTGGTATAATGCGGCCCGGGGTTAAGAGATGCCAGGATTGGCCACCGGCTCACCTGGAGGGCGGGAAATTAGAAAATGGGCTGATGGACGATTTGGCAGAGCCGGTGCAGGGCGGCTGAGTAAAAGGACTGCGGCCTTCGCCGGGAGACCGCAGGGAAAGAAACCGAGAGGAGAGAGCGGATAGGAGCGCCAGGCGCCAGGCGATGCGACCGCCCGGGCGCGCCCGCCGCTCAGCGCACGGGTGCACGGAGTGGTGCCTACCCAGTCCACGTGAGGGGCTCCCTCGTCCGGTTCCTGCACTCTGCACTTGCCTTGCGTTTCCAGACATATTTGAAAATACTGTTTAATAGATTTTAGGAATCGCCTACGTACCGGGGGTATAACTGTGAATACGGAGTAGGGTTGCGGGATTGCGTACTAAATATGGCCGCAGCGCAGGAGCCATGGTCCCTTACGGGTGCAAAGAGTAGGCAAACCCGCAACACTGCTGCGAATTCATAGTTACACCCGGTACCAAAAAACGGAAAGAGTGAACAGGGAAGAGCGCATTAGCAATCTGCAATCTGCAACAGTGGACCCAGAGACGTGTGAAACATGTCACATCAATTTTTCAAGTATATATATTTCAACGCAAAATGGTGCAATACTCCTTCACTGATGATTATGGGACTGCATGATCGATCGAATGTGGGAGGGACAGAGAGAAAGAGTGAGTGTGTGTGTGTGAGAGAGAGGGAGAGAGGGAGAGAGAGAGAGAGAGAGAGAGAGAGAGAGAGAGAGAGAGAGAGAGAGAGAGGAGAAAGAGGGAAAATTCATTCGTATTCCACCGGCGGCGACGCGCACAGTAAAATTTCCCCGTCGGTAAGTAAATCGGTCGTGATTGACCTGCTGCTGCTGCGGTATGAAAAGCGCCGGGAATAAAACTGCAACAAAGGGTTCTGGCGGGGCAGGCAGGGCAGGCAGGCGCGCCTAGCCTGCCCCGGGTGACAAGCGGCAGGAGGACGCCAGGCGGCTGCACGGACCATTTCGCGCGGGGAATTATTACTATCTGCCGGGGACAGGGCCGAACTGTTAAACAACACAGTGCGGAAACAACTAAACCTAAAATATGCCAATTACGAACCGATTAAATGTTGCAAGATTAGAGATTCTTTCGCAGAGTGTTGAACTCAACATCAGGTCTAGGTAATTTGTGCAGTGCGCAAAGCTTGGGGTGGTCCTCTCCCCCGATGCGCAGCTTATACGAAGCGGAACTCGGCGGATGCAATAAATGCAGTTCAAAATCATCGCGAGATTAACGACAGAAATCGCTCAACTTTGTGTTTTCAAAGAATAATAGTATAAAATTAATGTCATTACACTTGTTATTAACAGCACGCGGCAACCTCGCCGCCTGGCCCGGCCTGGCCCAGCGCCGGAGTTGAGTTCTGAAACAAACTTTGCGATGCAGGATGAGGCTTTTCAGGAAACGAAATTATCGACGAGTCTGTCAGGAGTAAGCCGCCATGTCGCTAATCCAGCCCCTCCCCCCCCTCTCCGGGTGGCGGCGGTGGCGGTGGGCGACCGAAAATGTTGGAATGGACTTTGCGCT